ACAAGACAGGAATCACTATGAGATACATATAGCCGAAATTGTATTAACTGTACTTCTAGTAATCAGAATTTGAATAGTTTGATTTTTCAGAAACACATTAAGCAAGTTCTTAGAGTAGAGGTGTGGAAGATCCTGGTTTACACACTTCCTGTCAAACATTTTTGAAAAGTTTTCCCCTCTCTTAGGTGAAGTCTATGATTTAAATTTTGACTTGAAATTATTTTCTCCATAACCGGGCAAAAACCACTGGTCTCACCACTTTTTTCAAGTGCAAGTATAGCATCCAGAGACTTATCTTTCACCACTGCTAGGAGAGGCAAAACTTTTTTGTAATTCTTAGTAAATGCATGCGTAGAACTATGGCAAGATCAGACCCTTAAAACATCTATTCCTTTTTCATAGGCTAGTTTCTTCAAATCTTTTCATCTTTGAACACAAAGTCACCCTTTTGTGCTTCAGGGTACCTACTACTATGCACCATTACCAACTCTCTAAATAATATTTTACTTAGAAAAGTATTTCTTAAAACAAATTCCCAACACTCAGGAAATCAATAAAACCCAGAATTAGAGCATAAAATTGAAGAGACAGTTACACAATTCTGTGTGTGATTGCTGCCCTAGCACACTGCTATACATCTTCACATCAACCTAATTCATTTGACACACAGTCTCCCCGCAGCTGAGAAAGTCTAGCTTTCTTACTAGTTCTTAGTAAAAGATTAAATACAAAACCCTCTATGTTTAAGTAGTGTTAAGGTTGTGACACAAATCAACAAAAGGCAGGAAATTCAAAGATAACACTGACACTCCATGCTTAATTCATGATTGTTTAACAAAAGGGCAAAACGATATAAGGAACTAGTATCAGCTTTGACTTCATTCTGTCTGCACTCTTGAGCAAACAGGTGCTTATCTCGGAGATTATACTGGTTCAGCCTCTCCCATCAGTCGACGTAAATGCTAGTAGTTATTTAGCCTTTAACAATATGCTAGGCTTAAAAAAAAAAAAAAAAAAAAAAAAAAACACCACTTACAAACTCATATTTAACATCCTAACATGCTATATTGCAGTGAAAAGCATTACTAAAAAACAGGTTTTCCATAAAGTGACACTTGATGATCATAAATATATCATTATGCAATAAACTTTTCAGAAGTAAACAAAGTATACTCGAACCATTCTTTAGCATTAGAGACAAAAATTAGACCAAACAAAAAATGTTGTTTTACAATACAACGTAAGAAACTGGTAAGTAACAAAAGGTATTTTATTTTTAAGCCAAAATATTTGAAGGATTTTTCAGTTACATGCATATACACTCATCCACCTATCTTAATTTTAGCTTAAGGGAAATGACTTTAAGACTTACACACGTACAAGCAGAGATACTATATACACAATACTCATGTCAGTGGACATAAACATATACTGACAAAACTTTAGCCTAAGATAAAATCTTAACCTGAGAAGCTTTTACCTTTGAAAAAACTCTACGAGATAACTTACATACTCTGGAAGGTTTATACTAGATACCTTACAACAACCTTAACTGTGCAAAATATAGCCCTATATTTACTGTTTTCTTCATAAGTTAACAACTTTTAACTTATGCGTACTTCAATTCCTCTTTGAATCCTCTTTTTTGTTTAAAACAATGAAACACGTTTCACGGTGGCAGAATAACAGAGAAAATAACGTTGCCTATGACTACAGTATCACAGACATAGAGGATTGTGTTAATCTTTAGGGTTTCAAAGTAAAAGTTAGAACTTCAGTATGTTTAAAAAATACTAATTGCATATGAACATTCCTGTCTGATATTTTTTCTTACCATTTTATTATGAAGAAACAAATAAAACGAATTAAAGGAATAAAACAGTGAACTTCACACTTCATAGCCTCCCCTGGAGTACACAGTTATCTCACACGTATATCCATATAGCGTTAATTGTGGGACAACAATTACAATTTTTGCTAACGCCTTCATTATTGCCTAGTGTCTCAAATAAGTTCAAGTTGTCCTTGTAATTTAATGCTTTTTCCAGCTGAACTTCTAAACAATTATGGGCTTGTCCCCACCAGCCAAAATTGCACTGAGGTAACTGCTATAGCATCTGAACACGTTGTCAAACATTTTCAGTGGAGGCTTTTGAAACCACACATCTGTTAGTCCATCACACTCCAAGGATCTGGTTACCAGTCCTAGGTACGTTCCTAAAAACCCAGTGAGAAACTCATACAGTAACAATTGAAAGTTGTGTGCCAAGATTTTAATTTTCAAAGCAAGTATAATTATGCATTTAATGTATCCATGTACGCAAAATACACATATTCATACCCTCAAGAGCATCAAGCAGATCAAACAAAGAGCCACCGTTACATACAGCTGCACGCTCCCACCAAGTCACTGCCTCACACAGTTTTAGACACTGTAACACAGCACAAACAGCCTGGCCAAAACATTAACGGAACTATCCTTTCTATGAGACTGAAGTCAAACAATTTTAATAGACTATGTTTCTACTGATAAAGACTTACTTGTTTTCTGGTAGAGCCTGAACAACTGCATGTGGAGTCACAAGCCTTTGCAAGGCAACAGGAAACCACCTGAATGATCCCCCAAGAAATTAGGCTTATGGCTCTCAGCTGATTTCCTCTACTTGCCACAAGTACAAAGGTGCAGAGGACACCTCTGATTGCTCCTGTCCCTCACTTCCCACATCCCTCCCTGTAGCTGTAACTCTGAAGAGCACTGATAAATCTCCTTCTCTTATAAAACTATACAGAGCTTTGAAGAGAGGCATCTTCTTTTACAAAGGAAGTTCAACAGACAAACTGCACTCACAGCACTGTAAGGGGCTGGCTCTTTTAACTTAATAGCATCACAAACAAATGTGGGAAAAACTTCCACTAAGTTTTCAGGAAGTAAAGGAGAGAAGGATAAAGCAAAGGGAGAACAGGGTGAAGTCTGGCTCCACCCTGTAACACTCTTGTTGACCTAATTAATATTCACTTGCTCTCACATCTTTGACTACCTAAGGCAGAGTTTTGACTTCCTTATGAAGCCTAAATTATGCTTATAAATTCTGCTTTGCTACAGAGCTCATTTTGTATTTTCAGCTTAGACATCACAAGCAGAGGAGTATATTTGTCAGGCTGGCTCGCTGAGATACATTGAAGATTGTAAGGATAATCAACTAGTCTTAATTGCATCAAAAATCAGTCAGTATCACAACCATTTGCTGGATGGCTTACTGATCCTATTAGCATAACCTACCAGTGATTTTTTTTAAGTCAATACTAAAAGCTTGTATTGATACTGTCAACTAAAACCATTTTCAAAGTCCCAATGACTGAGCGCAATAATGTTGAATGACTGCAGAATCCAGTACGCTAGCGTCACGTGAGCTCTAGCCCATAGAAATTAGCTGAAGCTCAGTTTGGATGACTACAGTAAGCTGGCGCTTAACCATCCAAACCCTAGAGATATTCTCCACTCATTCATGCTATAAAACACACTCCCCGCTTTTCACCTAGGAATGGATACTTCCTTTCTCCATCCTCATTTACTTTGCTTCAATTTATCAATGTTTGCTTCCTTGCTTTTGGGAGAAACCTTATTCTCCTCTCAAAAACTGCAGCCAATGAAGAGTGAAATCAGAACGAGAAATCACTGATGGACAAAATGGGTATTCTGTTATTGCCCTGAGAGCTCCTTCTCCACTGCTTTAGAAGACAGAGCAGGGAGAGAAAGCAGAGCTAATAGATCTGTTACACCCAAAGGGACAGTCTCACTTCCAACAGAGGTCCTATACCTCTGAACCTAGAGTAGTGACGTGAAGCATTTTCATTGTCACTTTGCATTTGGCAGAGAATTCCCCTCCGAACTTCCAGTAACTAGCTCACCAGTTCACCAGTTCAAATTCACAAGCTGTGTGAAGACTCTTTATCTCTGCCAGGCAGTAGCGAGCCAAGAAAACCTACATTTTCAACTTTACCAACATCTGTTCTGTCCGTGCAATTACTAATAACAGCGGAACAGGGAATGTGAGTGTTTGGTCCCATCCCTCCTCTCCTCTGCCAGGCCCCAGAGCTCCTACAAGTTTCAGAGCCTTTATCATGAGCTCACGCCCACACACCATAGGCATGATGCAAACTGACCTCTGCAGAACAAATGCGCCCTGATTGCACCCATGCAAACCCCAGGGAAGTGTGAAATCTGAGGGGGAAAAGATATGAACAGGTTTGGGACCACTGGAAAGGTAATTTATCACTTGGACATAGTAACTCTTTATGAAAGCTATGGAGTAAAAAGTTAAAATAAAAAAGAGTGAGAAACACATAATTTCTGAGATAATAAACAAATAAAATGAAATTTAGAAATCTAAATGGGAGTTAGACTTCTGAGAATCAAGTGTCTTGCTTGAGGTCAGTGTGTTATTAGAAGAATAAACAAAAAAAAAAACAACCCAGCCTCTGCAAGCACATTCAAGTGCTCAGAAGTTTTCCTGCCTACATAAAATACAAGCTCTGTCTCTCTGTGTGGTCCAACAGAGGGAAAGCCTAACCTCTAGGTCCTCCTCTCTATTTTATCATATTAGCATTTGTTAAGGGGATCATCTGGTTCATTCTATTTTTTATGGCCTACACTAGGCAATCAATCAACACTCACAGTTGCTTAGTTATGTGTTTACAGTATCTAGAAATACACATATATTTTCGGATTTGCTCTCAAATGCTCTCCAGGGTGATTCGAAAGGCACTCTACCCAGTCTGCCCAGTAACTGTCAATTCTAAATGGTAGCACGTATACATACTGACTTTCATATTTCGAAGCACAGATATTTCTAAGCATGCCAAACACTTTTTGCTTTTACTATATTTATGGGTAAAGGTTTTGAAAATCTTTATCTATATATTTCCTGCAGCTTTATAGGAATCTCTATACAAAGCTAGCAAAGATCAATTTGACCAAAAGAAATAGGTACATTACATACCATAGTCAGTGATCTTACAGGATACTAAATACAGCTCTTTCAGGTTCCGGCCTTCTTTAGCGATCACCTCCACACATCTGGAATATACATAAAGTAAAACTCAGAGTTAAAGGAAAATGGATCATCTTTAATTAAAAGCTCAGTCACAAGTGTAATGTACTGCATATCAATTTCTTCATTTTGTGAATTATTCTGTAGAATAATAACTTTGGAAGGTTCCTCTTGCCCAATTTAAGCTTTGAGAGATTTTTTCTGGATAAGAAGAATAAACACATTGTGATGAGGACAAAAAATGAGAAAATGTAATTTTAAATTCATGTTTCTGTTTATTCAATGATTATTGCAGAAGTCAGCATTCATCAGGTCATGAAATGCTACATGGCATTCGTATTGCAATATGTTGCTACAGAAGCTTATACAGATGAGAAGACAGCTCATTTGGCTGCCTTGTCACAGTTATGATGAATTTGCAATGAATCATATGTTTTGTCTGTGAATCCCTGTTTGATGTCCTTTAAGCAAGAAAATTAATATGAAAACTAAAACTGTCTTGTAAAATAGCTGTTATAATATACTTGTGACCAGATCTAAATTAATGTGTTGTTTACAATTGTTATATTTACAACTCCATTGTTTAAACAGTATCACTCATAAAAATATATTTTATAAAATATATTTTTAGTACCAATAATGTAAAACGCATCACTTGCTCACAGATCAGCTAAGGTGACTATTGTGCAAGTCTGTACAGAGAGACATTTTAAAAAATGATTTTAATAGGATAAATTGCAGCAATTTCTTTGGATCCAATATACTTCTCTTTAATTTTCTGATCAATTACCCAATCATCTACTCTGACTCTTAAATCAATTCTTCTGCATTACACAAAATTAAATTATTCGCTAATTTTGAACAAAAACTAGGTATTGCTGAATTGTTGCAACTTTTGGAAAATACACCTACGCCTGAAGGAACCTTTTTCCTTCACTTACCACTACCAATAGATTATCCTCAGTTTGATATAACTGTTGATGCTGACAATTTTATTCTTTTTAAAAGCAGCCACCTAATTCTTATAGCTTACAATAGTATAATAACTGAATCATAGCCTTTCAGAGCTATTTGTCCTCCTTCTTTTTCCTTCTTCTAAAATCCAGAACCAAAAATCGCTACTGTTAATAAAATACGATGACTCTGAAAGAACACTTTAATCTTGATTTCTTTATCACTATTACAACATCATCAATTTTCAACAGATCTTTTAAAACTGTGTGAACCTCATAGTTAGAAAATTTTTGCAAGGCTTGTCCTCAGGAATGAGGTCTTCTTAGTTTATGAATTAAAAAAAGGAGAGAAATGTTTTAACACTGTAAACCTGGAAGAAAAACATTTCGGGGAGGGTAAACCTCTTCATCCTTCACTTCATACTTAACGTCAACAAACAGCTTCTCTGCTAAGACAATCAGCGAGCATGACAAATATTTTTCTTCTGGAAGTTACACCAAGACTACAGTTTTTAATATAAACAACTCTAAAGCAATTCAGTTTCATCAGATTATTTTCATACAAATCAGGTAAGATTTAGAGTGTGAAACATTCTACAGAGGAGATGGAAAGCCTCTGTGATCCTGCAAGACGTCATTTTGAAAGAGGTATTTGTCTTGGTGAAATGGCTTATAGTGATCAACTGGGCTTTGAGAAATACTTTGTATTATTTATTCCAGAACAATAGTTCTTCATACTGAGATTTTATTATTAATGTTAGTAATAAGAATAAAAGGGAAATTATTATCCTATATTTTATTAGATGCTACATTTATTAGGCACCGCTGCAAATAAGATATAATCAAAAAGTGAATGGACATAGCAATTCTAAAAACATTTTATGTGCATAAGTATCTATTAATACTTATGGCATATATAGTTTAGCAGAGAACGAGATTCTAAAACATTTCTTGTTTTGGATAAAGCTCCTGAGCCTAGAAAAATATTCGGATGTTTATATCTAATGACTGCACTCTTAAGTTTTCAAATTATTTTGAATCATTTTTGTTTACTGAGAGACAATTAACTAATCAAAAATACAATATAACAATCACTCTCAAATGATGGTACCAGTCATGACTACATAAAAGCCTACCTAATTTTCCTTATAATTTCTGTTATACAAAAATTTGATTATATATTGGCCATGGTCAGATTAGTACTGTCTACACATAGTCGTATCTGCTCATGCATCCTTCAGGATCTGCGTATGCCTAAAACTCAAGGTCTGGTTCTTTCCCTGGCTTCACACAAAAAGGGTTTAGCTGCAGAGGAAGGAAGTTGTAGTTTTTGCCCATCCTGACATAAGATGGTGCCCAGACAGGGCTTCACTAGCACTGCCAAAGCTACAGTGTGGCGCTGGTGGTGACGGTCCATTTGCCCGGCAAGCTCGGTACTGAAAAGGCGCCCTCTCCTCCTGTCCTGCTGCTGAAGGACAATGTCACGGCTTTGGTCAAGTTGACTTAGGTTCCACAAACTCAGACAAATACTGCTATATTGTTTTTAAAAATCAGTACATATTAAAAAGCTTGCCTTGGCAAGTAAGAGTCTGAAAAACTCCTTCACCTGAAAAGACCTTTAGAGCTGCTTCCATTAAACAGAAACAAATGTAAAAACTTAGCTTCAGCTGCCTCATTTCTTTGTTTTCTGAAAATATTAAAATCACCTAACCTCTAAAGGAATGAGGAAATGAAACATTTACTTCAGGAAAAAAAAAGCTTCAATATAGCTGGAATATTGAATTTATAAATTTCTTTATCCATCTTCAATAACTGCAAGAGTCAATTTAATTTCAGTTTTAATTTCTGTTATCCCTTTTATGGATCTTGCACTTGTAAACCAACTTACAGAGATGTATGAAACACTTTATATGGCCTTACTAGTTTGTGCTGTGTAGAGGGTCATACACAATACATAATTGTTGTTACAAATGTTTTCTTTCCAACATAAGGGAAAATAAGAGTAGTTGTGTATTTATTACTTTTACCTTTTAATCTTTGTTAAATATGACAGTAAAGAAAAAGGGTAAAAGAACAAAATGACATTAACCTTTTCTAGAAAGCAAGGATCAAGTCATGTTAATTCTGTTGGTATAATCCATCAAAATTATATCAGATTATTGCCATATATATCTTCTGAAGTCTTTATATTTACAGTCTGGCTGTATTACACAAATCTCGAGTGGGGGTGTGTGTGCGTGTTTGTGTGCTTCTTATCTTTTTAAGAATGTTGTAATGTTGATTTTAAGGTCCTAACCAAAATTTTAGAGTGAATATAGGGTGAAGGAAAAGCTAAGTCTTAAGCAGGTCAGCATAATACTGCTAAATAAGAGAAAAAAAAATTATTATTTAAAACAGTATCAAATGACAGAAGTAAAGTGAAGAGAACAAATAACGGAGCCCTGGAAAACTTGAGGATGAAACCCTATCTGCTGGTGAGATGATACTGCTTGGTCAAGATAACACGGGCTGTGTCCCAAGGCTGAGAGATGACCTTTTACATTCTCCTTACATTAGGGGACTGAATGGTCTTTTGCCGCCTCATCCAACTAAAGAAAGATGGGCAACATCTAGATGAAGTAGTGAAAGTTACAGAGATGCAGATGTTTGTTGTTCATTTTTTCTTCAAATGTATTTCCAACGTATTCCTTTTTCCGGGAAAAAAGATGATTTTTACACTCAGAATAATTAATTACCAAAAAATGGGCCAAGGGCTAAAGAAATAAAACTAAAATTATACCTTGGATAATAGCAAACAAGTCTGTATCAAGACTGGCCCGAACGAAAATAGCTTGACTTAGAACTTTTTAAATGAGTATCATTTTAGACCCTTGTAAGACATGAAAAATACCCAAACAGAGAACTATAAATACTTATTTTAGGAAGGAATTATTTATTCATTCAACCTGAAAATATTAACTTACAGATTCTTATGCCATCTTGCCAAGTTTTCCCTAGACCCACTCAATGTTTTAAGAAGGCTGTTCTCTTATAGACTGATGTGCAATTCAGTTTTATTGCATTTGATTCTAAAAGTAAGAAATTAATACAACATACAAGCAAATTTACAGCGCAATCAGGAGCAAGAAAAAGCGGAAGAGTATAAATTGCTTTCACAGAAACAAGCCAGTCAGACAGTATTTCAGAGAACAAGAACATAAATAAGAACACACCTACCTGATGTTAATATGAAATAGAGTTATAACACTATAAGCGTTTGCAGGCAACTAGACCTTGTTGTGATGTTACACACATCAACATCCCAACACTCCATGGTTTAGTAATGTTCAGACACTAACAAGCCTCAAATTGCCTCTTATTTTAATACTTTCTAAAAATATCTTCCCACTTGAAAAGTTAACAATTTTCATGAAGAATAAAGTATAACCACAATATTGCTAAAATTCCAGCAACTTGTATCAGGCAATGACTCTCAATCGATGCTAGAGAAACTTTGGAAATTTGTCTACTACTGTGTATTTGCATATAGTGTTCTGCCCCGCTTGGTCTGTGTAAGATGTCCAGACAGACTGAAGTGTACAAAAAATTACCAATATCAAGCTTCTCTGCAAAGAAGTCTTCAGAAGTAACATAACCGCATAATGGAAACGTATGATATATGTCTACGGATAACTTCCAATTTAGGCCCATAATCTTGACGGTTTCCACATATAAATCTGTGAATGAATTCACAAAGTCAAGGTTCCTGACTTCTATATTTAATGCAAACTGGAAGAGGTTAAAAATAATGAAAAAGATCACTAATTAGAAAATGAATCATTCAACATGGCAACTGCTTTTTCCTTCTCCTAGTCAACTGATCCCTAAGTTCTTTGACTTACATGAAGGTTTAAGGTTAATGAATTAAAGTGTGTAAGCTTCCAGCTATCAAAAAAGATTCAAAAGGACTTGAATTATGGAAAATAAATTGTCTTTTCTATATACATACACCATTTTTATGCTTTTGGTCTAACTCTAAAAGCATTGGAACATGGTATTAGTGACAACTGAAAGGAACTAATGAGAAAATATGA